CTCTCTCTCTCTCTCTCTCTCTCTCTCTGTCTCTTTGGCTTCTGCGTTGTCTTCTCCCACTTTCTCTCTCACATACTTCTTTTTCTTTTGACCTCTCACCTCTGTTGCTATACCACTCTCTCTCTTGAGTTTCTCTCTGTGTTTTTCCTTTACTTCTCGTCTAACTCCACGTTTACCATCATCAAAATTCTTCCTTCTCTCTGTATCCTTCATCTATTATTGTTTTTTATGCTGGCTGCAACTCAGCTTACATAACCTAATGCACCAGACCCAGATCCCTGTGCTCTCACTGTCCTCCCTTGTTCTGCCATAATCATTATAATCATTAGTTTTGTCATTCAAGATAACATTGCATTCACCTAAATCATGAGAACCAACACTGGTCACAGAAAAAGCTCTTTTAATAACCTGATAACCTTAATTGCTCTATTTTTTAGTCAGTTTGTATTGCTTTTTTGTTGCTTACATTTTGTCATAGTGATGCAATTTGATAATAATAGTTAAAGGGTCTGACTCAGACTACATAAATAGTAATTGGATGGTTCATGAGAAAGTAAATAATATCAGCTGTAAAATATGTATGATACTGTAGTTTGTCTGAGAAGTCATTTGGTTTAGGCAAGGGTTTATTCCTTTGTATGTGTTTGATGAGAAAATACAAATCTAAAACTTCTTCAACATTATCATTTTTTTCAAGTGGACTGTAAGATTTACCCAATATATTTAGTTTGGTTGCCTTTTTTTCTTGATTCGTTTACTTCGCTAGAGTTGCCTGGATACAAAAACCCTCAAAAGGATGAAGTTCTCCATTTTGTTTTTGAGCCTTTAATTGCATTTCCTTCCTTTTATTGAACTGAAACCTCATTATTAACTAAACATTTTTTATCTTGTGTTGCAACAGAATTAAGCTTTGGAAGATTTCTTCTTTGTCCAAATGAGGTTTTAAAAAATGCAAGATGCTTTTTTTGTGTATCTACATGTATGACAAAACTAAATGCTCCTTGGCTGTAACAGTCATTGGTGCCTCTTTTAAGATGACCCTCATGATGACTCTTAGATCTTGACAATGTTTGAAAAAAGCACAACTCTAAGATTATTGAGGGGGTTCCATCTCAGTAAGTACAATGACAGAATATTTTCTTTAGGTTAGTCTTTAAAGTACCTGATGCACATATCCTTCATATACAAAAAGTCAAAGAAAACATCTTTATTTTTTAGGAAACTTGGCATATTACACATGATTGTACCCATTTTGTCACATAAATGGCCTATTTTCTTTTGGATTCGGCTCAGCCAAAGTGAAACAGGACGTGACATCAAAGGGGAACTCATTAATAAATTAAACTGTCTGGTCTTTGTTTATTAAAACAGTATCATTTAAATTTTAATTCTTCATCATCTGTTTGATAGTGTCTCAAAATAATCTAAAGAAACATCAGATTCTACTCTACAGTCTGTGTTATCAGCTGTTGTAACAATGCTCTGTTAACATGCAGACATTCCCCTTTGACATCACTTCCTGTTTCTTCATGTGCAAATTTCTCAACAACTGTTCATCTCAGTGACATGAAATTTGTTTTTCTACACGTTATCAATGTTATCTTTCCAAAAATGCATTCAAATTTATCACAAACATTTATTGGCACAGCCTCTTTAAGGAATAATGACAGAAAGTTATGACCTTCTGGGTTTTTAACCCACTAAGACCCTGACACACCACGAGTGTGCCGGTCTCATATGTCGAGGGCACCCAGGCATTTAATCAGTTTAGAGATAGTCAGGGACTTATTGTTCAGAAAAACGAAAGCTTCAATCTATGATTTGACAGTATTGTTAATGAGAAGCAACAAGGAGGTGTTATGTTAAGTCAGGCTTATAAAAAAAGATCTGTAAAACCCAGAAGATCGTCCATCATCAAGTTGACACTGTTCACACTTAAAATGGAAAACATGATTTTTTTTCATCAGCAAGCTGTGCTCCGTGTTCTTATTTTGTTTTGGTTGGATCTTCCTTTCCAATCTGCTGATTTTTGATTGGTTTTCATTTGTTTTTTCTGCAGAGGCTGAGTGTCATTAAAATGGCACTGCCAGTTCTCCTGGCTGGAGCACGATTGGCTTTCCAAATCCTCATTATCAGCACTGCTTCGACTCACTGTCACATCCACACACGCGCACACATATGCTGTTAAATCCAGATTCCGAAATGACTCATAGCGTTCATTCTTCACACAGGTGTTTGTGTCTTCTCTGCCCTCCTCGGGGCTTCTGGGAGAGGGTGAGCACATTCTCGCTTCCTCCTCTGAAGGTTTGTGCTCAACCTGCCCACATCATTCAGCTGCTTTCTCTTGCTTCATCCCTCTCTGCCCGTCTTCCTCCACCTTTATTTGTCACTATCCAGCCCACACTTTTTCCCTCACACATCCGCAGCGCTGCTCTGTACACTACAAAATTTCCTCTCCACAGCATCAAGAAGAGCAGTGGCTCACATGTCGGTTTTCCTGTTCCGCTTGAGGACCGCTCGTTTAAAAGAAAGATAATGATGTGCATACTCTGAGCATAATGTTTTTATAGTTGTTTTGCTAATTATTTTGTTGTTGTTTTCTGACTCAGAGTTCTGTTAGCAATAAGTCGAAAAGATGTTTCACTGCTTCACGCAAATTTAGGATTTGTTATTTATATTGCAGGTTTCACGCGGATCCTTAAAAAGTCTCAAAAGGTATTAAATTCATCAATCCAAAAATAAGGCCTTAATTAGCCTTAAAATTACTTAAATCAATCTTTCAGAGGTGTTAAAAATTTTATCACAGGATGATTGTAATTCATCTCAAATATTAAAATAAGTGGTAACACTTTTTTTAATTGTTTCTCGCAGCTGGTTGTTTTGTATAAAAATAAACTGGGCTAGCAGGGTTTTTCTTTTCCATTTGTGTTTTTTGTGAAGTTGGTCTTAAATTTAATTTCGAGTGGCATTAAAGAGGTCTTAAAATGTCTTAAATTTAACTTGCTTTAAGCTGTAAGAACCCTGTATTGGCTAACAGCTTGTAAATGTTTGGTGTTATCCAGTGGTGGACAGCACTAATCTAAAAATTATTTCCACTAGCCCTAAAGCACTAACTCATATATTTAGGGCCCCTAATTCTAAAGCACTAATGCACTGAACAATTTAGCAAAAGCTAATTCTAAAGCACTAAAATAATCCAGTCAACCCATGAACATTCTTCAACATGGCAGCATGAGTCACATGTTGCCATGTTGCTCTCTTACATTCCTCAGCCTTATTTGAGTTCATGTATTGCTAATATGTCACATAGTGGATAAGTGACACACAGAAAATGTGTGGCATCTTTCACACTGTTAACATTAACGTTGATCAATAACATTTATAGACCTCAGTTAGTGCTTCTAAATTTAGCCTATAAATTTAGCAAGTGCCAATCCACGAATAAATTCTAAAAATAGCAAAAGCCCTAAAGCACTAATCAGGAAATTATTTCCCCAATTAGTGCTTTAGGGGAACTGTGCCCACCACTGGTGTTATCCATAGTTTGGTCAGTTTCTGTTGGGATAATATCCTAAATCTAGACTTTTTTAATGGTTATGTTGAAGTATTGACCCGTGGAACCAAGTTCCAACTCTTTAAGAGATTATTTAAGAGTTTAAAGCATATATTCTTTATTTTCAAATATTTATCTAATCTAACATAAAAATACAGTTGTTTCCTTATTTATTTTTTAACCTCATGACAGGATCATTTGAATGGGATTGCTTGTCAGAACCGTTTAATCTCTGAAGAGCAGGCAATAGGTCCCACCCCAGCAGCAGCGGCTGATCAAAGGGAGATTACAAGGATGATTTCCGACAGATTATGCTGCACAGCTCTGCTGGTGCATTTCACTGTTAAGCACATTGCTCACGTCAGTACCAGAAACTTTAATGGTACCTTGTATTGTATGAAGACTAATTGAACAAACGCAGTAACTGGTTTGGTCGTCGTGACTTTCAGGATTCTCTCCATGATTGTTTGCTGTCAATTTTTTTCTCTTTTATGATCCTATGGTCCAAAACTCAAAGCTTTATAATCTGTAATCTTTATCATAATCACCTTTTTAATGATGAACTAAAATCCAAGCAAGACTCCACATTCAAAAGTTTAAATATAAATGAAATAAACTATTTTTGTTCAGCCATGTAGCATTTAATGGATTATAAATGGTCACAACCTTTTGTTTCAGTTAAGGTTTTATGGAGGATCTTGAAAAAGACGCTAAATTCTACTCATTTATTTAAGTGAAGTGTTTTAACAGCATGTATTTCACTATCAGTCGTCTTCTATCTAAGTTCCACTAATCTAGAATGTACCATTTGAGACTAAAAAGGAGAATTACTGTGGTTAATCTGGCTATCGGGAGGAAGAGTTCGCGAGTAAATCTGTTCATGACACGCACAAATCTGAAGCGCCGTCCCATCTACAAATTCTCCTGAACATATGGGTCTGGTGACGCCCCACCAGGCTTTTCCACTCTGCCCTGCCAAGCTAATTCAAGAGTGACTCTCCAGCAGCGATTCTATTAGCAGGCAGTACAAGAGTGCTTCCTTAAATATACCCCGTGTGCTCATTTGTCAAGCTCTGAAAGGCAAGAAGAAAAAAAAGATGACTTTGTAAATGCAGAGATTTAATTTTGATTAGTGAGGAAGTGACCTCTCTCTCTCTCTCTGGCTTTGAGCTGTGTAATGTTTGTGGTGAGTAGTGAGGTTTTTAAGAAATGTGAAACACAAACCTCTCTTGCTAAACCTTTGTGTCAGGTTAACATTGGTTCTTGTGCCTAAAAAGAAAAAAAACTGACATGTTAATAAGCCTTTAAACCAAGGCAGTAGCTCTCAGGTCTTCAACCAGAGTTAGGAGTGAAAGGCAGACGGTTGTCAACCAAGAAAACTAAAGCTAAAAAAAATGAAACAAACTACATTTAACATTTGACCTCTGCTAATATGATACTGAATCATGCACATGGATGCAGTGCGTGTGGCGTTCTCAGCTCTTGGTGATATTGAGGGACTGGAGTTTTACATAAGCTTGTGCATGACTGCTGGCCCTCTTTGAATCATACTTACGTCTCTCATCACCATGGCTACAACCTACAGTAGTGTGGAGGCGCGCTCTTCATCTTTCTCCTGCTTTTTCTGGCAAGCTGATCCTACAGCCGTGGGTTAAAGTAAAGTAATGGGTCTTCTGGGTCTGAATCTTCCTCTCGAAATGCTCAGTCGCAGCATTTCACTGCTATTTGACATCTGTGAAAAAAAATGTTGAAATTGTTATTTTTTGAACATAATTTGTGTTTTTTTTTTTTTTTTTTTTGCTCTCCTCTGTTTGCGTTTACGAAGATGAGTTGTTTTTATAAGAATGCGCTGCTTTGCATAAAAGTTGTCTTTTTTTTCCTTCCTTCTCATAGGCGTTCCTTATCCAAAGATGCGGAGAATTATTTTGACAAAGACACAGGAGTCCTTGAGGTTCCAATGACGGTGCAAGTTGCAGGCCAGGTTCGTACCGTGTTATCTGTTTAATGCGGCGCCTACAAGCTGCGTTTATTTTATGAGCAGGCACTGCTGTCCTCTTGAAGACAGTGTGCTCATTGTGCAGCATTGTGCTCGAGTCCTACTTTGTCACAAACAGAAGCAGAGCCACTGAAGGTTGTAACCTATTTTGCTGGTAACAAGCTAAAATTATCTCCCACCCTCAAGGCCCAGTAACTCCATGGTTGCTAATAAGCCGAGCATAAAGGTTACCCCACATTGTTTGACTGAAAATGTCCTCATTAGCTCAAAAATAAACATGAAACAATCTCACAGACTTTTCTTTTTATTTTTAAAGAGTCGATGATGTAATTATGCTATGCTTTCTTTGTTTATGGGAATTTTGTTAATTTGACATCATAACACTTTAAAAACATTAATATTTGTTAGCACCATTATGAAACTTTAAGAAACTTGCTGTTTCAGCAACATTTCATTTAAAACTGTACTTTTGAGGTTGAACAAATGTTCGTAACTAACTTCAATAAATTACAAGTTAAGAAGGGCATGGAAATTTTTCTTTTTTTTAATCGAAAAAATATTGAACCATGAGACTAAATTATCAAACTGAACTGAATTGTGAATTTTCTGTATCGTTGCACCGCTAGTATTAAGTGATTGACAGGTGTTGGATCACACCCCGTTGACCATTTTGGCTATACCGGTATTTTTATTAAGGCTTATCTTGTCGTTTTGAATGAAACCTCTGTAATGTGGATGTTTTATTATTTTAGGATATTTGCACTGAAAAACTGTACTGATGCATTGAGCCTTCTACCTGAAGGGACGGGCGGGTCCAAACAGAAACATCAAAATGCCCTTTACTGCAAATCCACCGGATCTCATCACTGTAGGAGTCAAGTGCTCAGCTTGAACCCCTCAGCTTTTTCTTTTCCTTAGCCAAAGATCTGTTTTTTTAGCATGAATGTCTAAACCTTTACAGGCACACTTTTTGCATTTCAGGCTTGTAAAGCTTAAATCTAAATGGATTCATAAATTCCAATTAACATTCTTTGAGACGTTTGTTCTGCACTCTTGCCAGCCCATTTTCTCCTCCTTTTAATTCTGAACCTGATCTGTTTTGCTGCCAACTGTCACCTTTTTCTAACTTGTCTTCCAATAATTTGTGTTTCTACAAAGGCAAGATAAGGAAAAGATTTAACCGTTTGTGAGCCAAAAACAGTGCCGGTATGTTCCTATGAGAAACCAAAGCTGTTGCCCCCAGCCGCAGGCTCCAAGCTCCTGGCAAAAGACCATAAAAACACTCGTACACATTCATTTGGTCAACAGACCTCGCAGCAGCCAGGAGTGCGATGGCCAACAGCGGCACACTGCTGAGATCTGACTCAAGATGTCATCTTAAGTCCAAAATAAAACTATAATGCAACCCACAAATTTACAAATGTTCCTGTTTTTTTATTATTTTTATTCTACAACCAACTTTATGCTTTAACTTTAATGAAAATACTAAACTAGACTTCAGTTTCCCTCAGTGCTTTAGAGCTCTGTCAATATTAAGTCCCATTTTGACACCAGGTGACAGGAAGCTGATTCATTACCACAAACATGCTGAGACTGGTTTATTTTGGACACGTTATCCCGCTGCTCTAAATGTTCACGAGAGCTTAAAATTTGAAATAAGCCCCTGCTTAAAATAGTCTCCAGCAGATGGAACTTTTTTTTCTCCTGCTTCAAAAAACTTGTGAAGTATTTTTGAAATGAATATCTTCAGAAGAACCCTGCGGGGTTGGAGTTGAGTGATGCAGACTGCAGGAAGACCTCAGATGGGACACGAGGCATTGTTGGATTCTGTCTGCTTTTCCAAACTGATGAAAGCAGGAGAATATCGAGCAAGACCAGCCAAGTGAAGAAAGACAAGATGTCCCTGTAGGCTGGTGCTGGTATTTCACTTTCTACAACTCACTTTGAGCCAGAATTGTGTATTTGACTGCACACAAACAAACATCTTGTGGTTGCCCAGTTATTAAGAATGGCAATCGGCATAAACACAGTTTCTCACTGAGAAACTAAAGTTAAACTTCATTTTTTTTTAGATACGGTGCATACTGTATAACTTTAAACCTGTTGAATTTAAATAAAAGTTGCTTCTGTTCCTAATATTTGCCTGCATTTTACATCTTTTTATTATGTAAAATATTAAAAATGCATAATTAGGATTTGAAAAGTTGCACGAGCCCAACAGCAAACACCAAATTGGCATTTTACAAACATTCAGAGCGATTTTATGATGGTAAAATTAAATTTAGGAAAATATAAATGAAAAAATAGGAATGGGCTTTTTAAAGTGATTCACTAAGTCATATGTTTACAAAAAGTTTTTATTCTTTTTTTTTTTTTTTAGATTCAGCCCGCCTGTTTTACTGTCCAGGCAATTCTTACGTCATCAGATCTGCAGTTTGACCAGACTGAGGTGGACTTTGGCTTCTGTTCCATCCAGCAGTCAGTCAGGAGCAGCGTTCTCCTCACCAACCTGTCCCTCCTGCCACAAGACTTTGGCTTTTTGGCTGTTCCAGAGGTACATTTATCAATACCTAGAGCTGTGTTAGGGTAAGGGTAATAAAATCTGGGTTTTCAAGAACATGAGTTCATTATAACTCAATTTGTTTGTGTGTGTTTACAGTTCATAGAGATTCAGCCTAATGATGGTTTTGGCACTCTGCTTCCACAAGAAACCCTAAAGATTGATCTGATTTTTAGTCCCAAAAAAGCCAAAGAGTACCATTTTCAACTCAGCTGCAAATCTGGAATTAACAGGTTAACTTTTCGTTCTTTACTGAGTGTGAGTGGATGTTATATAAGATGATTTACAGAATGATAAGGACTACCAACTAAGCCTTTTTTTTTTTTTTTTTTGTCATCAGAGAGTTTCTGCTGTCCTGCCGAGCAGTGGGTGTTCACCCACCACTGGAGCTCTCTCATTCTCTGGTTCGGTTCAGAGCAACTGCGGTTGGTGACAAATCCACTGCCACACTTCACCTGACCAACCGCCACACCGACAACAAGCTCAGACAAACGATAACTCCAGAGGCCGAAGACACCGTCTCTGTTGGGGGTCCCAGGTTGTTCTGCTTCACCCCACCTGAAGATTCAGACATCAGCATCTCGCCCTCTGCAGGACGCCTTCTCCCCGGAGAGGTGGAGTCGATCTCATCTTGTGTTTGCTCACAGGTTTACAAACAAAAGGGTCTTTTTTTCTGTTGCTTAGAGGCAACAAGTGTATGTGTGTATAGCCTAGTCTGTTTTTCTCTATTAGTATTTATCACTGGGCCTTTTAGGTACATCTCAGGATGTTCAACCTCCCTCAGCTGATGGAAACCACAAACTGATGATGACAGTAGATCAGAAAGACGATGTAAATTAAATACAGTTAAATAGGCTTTTACACACTGACACAAACAGCTATCACAGCTACATAGTGTACTGGTGCTCTCTGCTGGACACTTTATGGAAATGAAAAACAACTTTTTCACTGTTTCAGATCAAAATACAAATGATTCTCAATATTTATGTTATAATATAATAAATATAACTATTAATAGAAATAATAGAAAACCATTTTTACCATGTAAGTATTTTTAAAAAATCTGAAAATAAACATTGTGTTGATGTAGTTTTAGGCAGCTGAATGAGTGGGGATATTTTTCCCTAGACTTTTTCACAACAAATAATTCTATTAAACAGTTATTTTGTTTTTACATCACATTTTTTTAATTCTATTTAACAATAAAAGGTCTACTGGAAGCAATATAGCAAACAGAGAAAAGCAGAAAAGCAGCAGTGTCTTCTTTATTTCACTTGAACGTCCAGCATCTATACATTTTGTTTGTTTGGTTGTTTTCTGGTTCGCGGGTCACTGGTGCCTACAGTATACTGTATATCTCCAGCAGTTGCTGTGCAAGAGGCAGGTTGCAAGTTTACTTCAACTTTATATGAAGAAAAAGGCAAAAAGCAGAATACTTCTCAACGTTGAAGCTTAATCTCTACGTCCTTTAATCAAGAGGTTTAGATCCAAAACTGTTTATGAGTGATGATGTCCTTTAAAAGAAACACTTTGTTCCTACCACTAATCCATATATCTAACATCTTTCCTGTCCTAGAGATGTCCTGTGCACGTGATCTTCAGACCGAGGCTTTCGGATCGTGAGATTAAAGAAGAGGCTCTAGGTCGCCTACAACGGGCCCTGTTGCTCCGTGAGACAGAGAGAAACAGGTCCACAGAACCAGAGGTACACCTGTTTGTCACTTTCTGCATCTACAGTTTAGGTAGATTAAAGAATAAAATCATAGATGTTCAGTAGATTGACACCTAACCAGCTCAAACACAAGAAAAGAGTGCGAGTTTCAAAGATGTTTTTTTTTTTCTTATTGCAGCTGGAAGTGGAAGCTAGCTGGCACTCAGTTGTTTATCAGTGTGTGTGTGTACCCAAGCGATTTAGCCTCTGAGCCAGTATGATTGTTGACTTCTGCCTTTGCTCTCAGCCAGCCAGTCAGCATCGCTGCCTGTTGCAGGGTGGATGCAGACTTTATGTGCTGTTTGTGTTTCTTTCCCAGCACTGCTTCAGAGTGTTCCCACCTGTCAAAAACTGAATCGCCCTGGAAGTTAAACCCCAGCTCAACAGATTGTTTGAATGTGTTGATTCGTCTTTTGCTTCCATTTTTTTTCTCGTCCTTATCCTCCATTTCTTTTTGCAGATGTGTGTCGCTGGATGTAACACAGCCAGACACATGTGCTTATAAAAGCCAGCAAGAATCATATGAGTTCATGTGTTACAGGTTGAAAGCACAATGCTCATCACCTTTGGTGACCTCCTTTTACTGTAGCTGTGCTGATGTGCTTCTCACTCACGTATTTGTTGCGTTTATGTTTCCTTTGACTAAAAAGGAGAGAGCTGTAGAATCCAGTAAAGGAAAAAAGGCATCAGCGAATTCAAAGAACAGCAAGGTGTCGGAAAACCCTAAGACCAGCAAATTAACCAAACCACCTGATCCAGTCGACATACAGCCTGGGTAGGCATACTGTTTTCAATTATTCAGCTTAGTTAAATCCTGCAGCGCTTAAACTATAAAATACTTATGTCCTTTTTATCAGCATTTTTGTTTGTTTAGATTTCTTGTAATATATAAACGATTTTTTTTTTGTAATTAATCTTTGGTTTAAAGTGAGTCTTTTCTTTTAAAGGTCAGCGCAGTATGAGGAGGCCAAGGCCTCTCTGCTCTACTCTTTCACCCAACGCTACAGAGAGTTCACCGTCCCCTGTTTTGTGTCAGACAGAGTCCACCCAGAGACAAATGGACATGTCGCGCCAGACTGGAGGTGAAATAACTGGCAACTGTTTTTTTAGATTATAGAGATCTGTGCAACTCATTACATCACCTTCATGATGCATTGAGACGGTGAATGTCTTGCCCTTTTCTATTTCTTTATTACGTAAAGTAGAAACATTATTTTAAAGTCACGGCTCATTTAACATAAAAAACAGCTGCAAACACTTTGCTTTGCCTGGTTTGTAAAGCTCTTTTTATCTTCATTTTATCTAAATTTTAGCAGTGTTACCTCATTTTGGTTTTATATTTGTTGCAGTCATGTGACCCGGATGACGCGTGAATGTTAGATGAAGGGCAGGAAGTGATTTGCTCCGGTTCAAAACACAGTGAAATGGATCACAGCGAGTACACTAATGCCCTAAATGGGCTGGTGCAGACAAGACATCGTGAAAAACTACGCATACATTTAGGATATGATCCATGTTGTCTTTATAAAAAAGATTTGTCTTCTACTCTGGAAGTTTTACCCAGCCTTGAGGCAATTAACATAAACTATTTGGTGCTGCAGGCCTCGTTTTATCTGACGAGCTGGAAGAAAGCTTTCAAAATCCTTGAAGCTTCAATTGTTTGTTTCAGGTTGAGTCAAACATTTAGGATCCAAAGAAGCTTTAAATGTTTGTCAACTTGTTTCTGCCCGGGTGAGGAGTGACTTAAGCTATTTTAAGGAAGTAGCCTCTAATAACAATGCTATCGCTAATGCTAACGAGTTAACTCCTGTTATTTCTATGTACTTGGATCTACTTGTAAATAAATTATTTAGCCTCTATATACCCAAATTTGAGTAACTGTCCAATAAAATATCTAAAAAAGCGATTAAATTCGATCTTTACCTGTTAGAAAGTGGCTGCTGCATTTCCGCACCTTCTGTTTTCAACCGAAGATTATTGATCCACATTTGTCGTCCTTTTTTTTAACTCCCTTGTGACACACTACTTTCAGAACATGAAAAAAAAAACATATCTTTCTCCAGATTAGAGCAGTTGCAACAACTTTACACGGCACAAAAGGTAGGCGTTTTGAAGCTGAATCAACAGAAGGAAACAGGGCTGCGTTCACTTCCTGCTCCCCAACTGCATTTCATGATGTCGATACAACATCATCTGCAACCCACCAGTAAAGCTAACTCCATGCTTGTTGGATGTGAAATACAGCATAATTACTAAACATGTATTCAGTTTAAATGTGACGTTTCTTATCTCTGCTTCTCATTTAACCTCAGCTCCACAAACACCCTCTACCTGAAACTGCAGTGTCCTGCTGTACAGCCCCCGCTGGTGGTTTTATCCAACAATGGTCGTAACGTCGTAGACTTCCATCACGTTCTTGCAGGTGAGACAGTTTCATAAAATTCATGGCCATCCCAAGCACTGGGATGTTTTACGTACTGTTTTCTGTTCTCACATGTTGTGTTTGTATTTGCAGGAGAGAGAGTAATTAAAAAGTTGACAGTTCAGAACATTTCAAAGGAGTCCTTGGATGTATCCTTTTCTTCAGAAAACATTAAAATTAATATACTTTTAACCTTAGAAGTATTAATCATCACAAATAATTTGGGTTTTAAACAATAAAAACTTATAGTATTTCACACTTTTATGTCCAGAATCAATAATACAGCAAAACTCTCTAAGTTCTGACTGGTTTTCTTTGATTATCTGCAAGTTGATGTCCTCAGTGTTGGACCTAGATGGTCCTTTTTGTCTTCTCAATGCTCTGAGACGCATACACCCTGGGGAAAAACACACTTTGGTTTTTGCTTTCAGTCCAACTCTGGAGAAGAAGGTGAGCTGACTACCAATCACTTTTTAATACTGTCATTAGACTAAATCTACTTAATTAAGAATTTAGTCAATAATTGACTTTTAACACTGATTTCAATTTGAAAATAATCAAACAAGGAATCTCATAAAATATTCGTTTTATGTAACTCACTCTTCTTTTACTTTTCTCAAGTGCTGTGAAATACTAGAGTTGCGAAGCCTTAAAATGGTTTTGGAAATACGTCTGCGTGGAGAGGGTGTCCTCCCTGCTGTCACCTCATCTCACACTGGAGGCCTGCTTGACTTTGGCTATGTGTTGGAGGAAGAGACCGCTTCACACTGTGTGCAGGTCAGCCAACAGTCTACTAACGTCAAAAGGACAAGAATCCATACACAAATAAGGGTTGTTAGTTAAGAAGATATTTTTTAAATTAAATGCACATTTTAGCTCTGTTTACCTGCAGTTGCAGAACAACTCGGTGGTGGCAGTGGGTTTCAGGGTGCTGCTGGCCAGCCTGTCTCAGTCCAGGCATCAGGACAGGACTGACAGAGTAGCCCTGCTGCTGGACGGATACAGAAACTCTCAGGTCCGGCCTGTTGTAGGTAAGTTGTGATAAACTATTTGCCAAATATACTGAAAACGTTTGATTTTATCGCTCTGTAAATACAGGCAAAACTGAGTGGTGCTTATGAACCTAATGTCAGAAATGTTGAGGCAGGTGACGCGTTAAAAAAAAACAGCAGAAAGAAAAAAAATGTAAATGCTTCATAACCAACGAAAGGCCTCCAGAAAATAGGAAGTGCAACAATGTTGTAAATAATATTCATTTATAATATTTTAAATGTATTCATAAATACAAATACAGTAAACTGTCCTCACATAAAACCTCGATATCAGTGTCACTGAGTGTCTGAAGTTTAAACCAAAATCTGTGATCAGTTCACAAAGGTGTTTGGAGCCTTCAGAAACTATGTGCAAATGTACAAGTGTGTGTGTTTGTGAATGTTGTTGTGTTATTTGTGAGAACACTATGATATTACTTTTTTTACTTGCATGTCTAAAATTTTAGGCAGCACAGAATTTGACTGTATTCTTCCTTTGCTGAGGCAGAAATGACAGCAGCTGTACAATTTGTCCTGCACAGGAACCCAGAACTACTCTGGCCTGAGTGTGTTTAGTGTGACGCCAGTAGAGGGCAGCATTGCTCCTGGACAGAGCTTAGACGTCACCATCACGTTTCAACCTGACCACTCTTCAGTTAACTACTCTGACAGGCTCACCATAGAGCTCATAAATAAGGTCAGCGTAACACAAACACACGTTTTTATCCAAGGTTAACCAGACATGAAACTGTTGCCCCTCCTCTGATGTGTTTGTATCATTCAAACCTGCTCACCTCACTCATATGTTCTCACTCCAATTTGTTTTTAACCTTTCGCATCCTCTGTCCTCCAGATTAAAGTGTGTGTGCTGGATCTGAAGGGTGCAGCCTCTTCACATAACATGTATCTGCATGGAGGAGACCTGTTATCAGTACCAGTTGAATCTCTTCTCCCTTCACTCATCAGCAGCCAGCCTCACCTCACAGGTTTTCATTATCTCTCTTCTTGAAGACCACATGTGGTTTGATAGAAACCTCGTGTTCTCGAAAATAGAAAATACTAATATCTTCTTGACACTTTCCATAATTTGACCAAGTGAGGGGAGAGTGTAACAAAATGTTTTCTTCTAAATAATGCAGATCATGTTTTACCACAAAATTTACACAGTAAATGCGCTGGTGTATTAAAAGTAGCATCAGCAGCTAAATAATCCGATTCCTATCACCTCACTTTCATTATGTCAGAGAGACAAGAAAAGCTCAAGTTTTCATGTTTGTCACTGAAACCTCACTTGAAATCTTGAAATTTTTAAAATGCAATGAAAAAGGAAGCACTTCCATGTGTAAATGACATATATTACAACAAATTTTACATACATGCTACGCGTGAGGACAAGTTATAAGACAATCTGAAGATCACAAGGCAGTGACAAGATTAAAAAAGAAAAAAAAAGAGGAAAAAACACCCAATAGAATGGATTCACTGACGATTCTGTTGATATTGAGAATAATGTTTAATTCCTATTGCAGAGTCACAGGTGGCGGAGAGGCCAAACATCCCGGTGCTGGTGACCCTGCAGGCCAGCTGCACCGCAGGTGTCATCACACCTGCAGCCAGGGAACTGCACGTTGGCTGCATCCGCTCCCCAAACACCAACAAGAAGGTACTGAGATTTTGTCAAAGCACAAACGAGACGAAAGAAAAAAAGTAACAGCTTCAACAAACCTGCAATGAGCATTCTTCGTCGCATTTATCTTCTTTTAATTGTCCTTTTTGTGATTTTCAGGGTGGAGAGTTTTACTGGGATAACGTGGCGCCACTGCAGCAGCAGGGCTTCAGTGTGGAGCCCCTTAAAGGCAGCGTGGAGGCAGGTCACAAACGTACGCTCACCATCACGTGGACTCCCCAAAGCGGATACAAGGTGAAGAACACGCAACTTTCTTTCCTCTTAAGAAACTGGCTAAAGAAATACCATTATCAGTCAAATGAATGATCATATTTAAATTATCTCGCGACACACATATGAAAGTGTGGAAAACTACGTCTCGTCCGCATAAGGGTGAAAAAGATGAAAAGATCACCAAAAAAATAAAAGCACAAATATTTATTTTGATTCGTTTGATCAATTTAATTGGAAAACCCTTTTAAAAAACACGGCAAACATACTGTAAGCTTGGGTCTCTGGAGGATAAAATTATATCACCGACAACACTTTTGCCGACTCCAAGATAAAATATATAGATCTCATTGTGTAAATCTAACTTTTCGCTTTAAAGTTTGAGTTCTTCAGGTTTAAAATATTAACTTTTTTTTCAGCTTTCAGAAATTTTAAAACAAACTGCTGATCAATAGAAAACCCGTGAAGGTTATAATCATAAATAATTTTGTCATAAGTGACTTGATATCTACATTATCATTAAGAAATGAGTTCCTGGAAGGATATAGTCCAGTTTTTGAACTGAACGTGTGTTTGTGCGTGTGTGTTTCAGCCTTCAGAGGTGGTGCAGATGTGCGTGTCTCTCACTGTAAAGGGGGATGAGACCCAGATTTACAGAGTCACCTTGATGGCTTTGGTGTCATCATCTACTGAATGATCCATACAGCCTGTGGATGCTGACCAGTGGTAGGCCTGCAAACCGAGGTTTAAATCTTACACTTCATTTACTGTACTTATTGGTAATGTTTTAGTGACGACCCTGAGATTTAAATAAGTCTTTGTGTTAATTCTCATTTTGTGTTCTGTAGTTTTACTCAAGAACAGATGCTCAAATGTAACAACAGTATAGTATTGTAATTGCAGCTAGATTGCACTGTTTAAACATTAAAACATTTCGCAAATACTGGAATCTTTTTTGTTTGTCTTGAGATGCTGATTCTGATAACAAGTAAGCTCTTTTGCTTTGTGACAAGATGACATTTAATTAAGTTATATAGCTAGTAAGATTTAGCCTTACCTATATTTTTCAAGTATTGTTTGCAAACCCACAGAGAGTGTTATGCCCTGAACAGCAGATGTCAGTAATGCCTTACAATGGACCAATAGGATTTGACCCCTCTGAGATACATCCAGTAAGCATTTATCAGAGATTCCAGGAGATTATGGTAAATCAGATTACTGTATCCCAACCTGCCTATAAAAGGCAAGGTCATTAAGAGCTTAGCCTCATGTAATGTCACCCATTTTATGAAATGTATTAGAGTATATTAGGCTATATTTATGTTGCTGTTTTGCCTCTTTTTGTTTAATCTGATTTCTCCTCTAATCTCTCACTAATGCTGTAAGATAGTGCTACTTAAAGTCAACATTCAAGCTAACTGTAGCGTTTATGTGTCTTAGTAAATCTGTAGAAGAACAGAAATATCACAAAATCAATTAAAGGATTGTGGCTATTATGAATGCTTTCTTGTATGTCGTGACCATGACATCAGTATTTACTTCACTAAAATAAACAATTTTTTCAGCGAAAATTTTACACTCCTGCACCTGCAGTTGTTTAAATGATGAACAGAAATAATGACGGGCAACATAAGATACTAAAAAACTGCAACGTCAACTTGCAGAGATTTTATTGGCTAAATCACATTGTAAATTTTAGACAAATGTTATGGTTCAATATGTGTCTATGATTTGAATAAATAAAAACATGCTGTCCGTTATGGATTACCAGTTTAACATTTGCGTGTTTAAAAACTAAATTACAGTTTTGTTTAACACTTACTTCCCTCATCAGTGTTGAGACTTTTCTCCTCATCATAAGGCTGAATGCAGATGAACAAGATGTCTCTCCTGGGTGCTCTAAAGCTCCACTAACAAAACCTCACAACACATGTATGCAGACAGGCCTGGGTGTATCCCGGAGCAACTAAATCTTCAAGCATTAACCTGGGTGGATGAGTCCCAGTGGAAACCAATACCCAGATCCAGAACATGACTTGTCTGTAGATCCGATTTTTTTTATTAGCTCTTAAAACCAGGTTATCTATTATAAAACACCACTCGATACCAACTTCTCCCCAACGTGCACATGCATTAATAAGCAAATAATTTTTGGGGCTTTCATTTTACTTAAACAACTTTTAGTGCTTACTTCAATAAAGTAGTTGCTTTCCTCAAAGGTATACTTGTACGTTTTATGAGTCCGTCCCAATCGATTGTTCCTACGTACAGTAAAAGCTGTTTAGTTTCCTGGCGCAGAAACTTCTTAGTGGGGGCCACTGAAAATCCTAGTGTGGCACACCACAATCAAAATCTAGAACAGATTTTCATTAGATTTGCTATGATGTCGTATTTAGGTTACTTAACAAATACAACAATACAGGGTTAGGTAATACATACTGTAGGTCTACTTTTGTTTTTTGGCTTTTATGGCTGATAATATTTAGTGCACATTGGTGTTAAAAGTGCCACATCAGTGTGCTTATTTAAGAGAATGATAAAGACTGGACTGTTAAAAAATATGAAATGTTTTAAGATGTAGTCATTCACTTTGTTGTTTTAGAAAGTTTCCATGTTTTTGTTTTGTTAACTGAAGATTATTACAGTTTGAGTCTATATTTGAGAGAAAAGGGACAGATATAAGATTTTTTTCTTCTCTCTGCCACCTTTCATTTCATTTATTTGTATTTTCTTTTTATTGCACATAGAATTTTGTTTTATGTTTTATGAAATGAATAAAGTTTATAAATCCAAATTTGGTGAGACAATGTCAATACTCAACTTATTGAAACTTGTCCTCTCCTACAGATAGATAGATAGATAGATAGATAGATAGATAGATAGATAGATAGATAGATAGATAGATAGATAGATAGATAGATAGATAGATAGATAGATATTTTAATGTGCATATAATCTAAGACTTGAATGAATGAATGAATGAATGAATGCCTTTTATTGTCATACACTGACATCCTCATGTTGAGGACATTGGTTTTAGAATTGTCATCCGTGGGGCTAGATTTATTTATTTTTTTACTCTTAATTGCTCACAATATTTATTTTTATATTCATGAGGTTCTACTAATTCTAAATAGCAAAAAGAAATTAAAAATGCACATCAAGCAAAAGCTTTGAACTCCTGTCTAGTCTGGGGTAGGGCAGGCACCAATCTTTTAAGGGTGGTCATTGCCCCCCCCAAGGCACTTCAGTGGTGATAGCCCTGTTTTCTGCTGCAGCTTTGAGGAATGCAAAAATGGTTCGAGCACAAATGTATAGACTCAAAGTATTATGACTAATAGTTTTAATTACCAATTCTGTACGAATATATAATTGAGCATTACAGACATAATTCGTACTGTTTCCTGTCTTACATTCCATTAAAATTGTGCCAAAAGATAACTGACTGTCGGTGTAACATTTGAATGTCAAAACAACACCAACGAACGGATTCAAAACAACAGCAGCATTTGGGAATATTCTTCCAACAAACCAAAGCTGCTGCCCCATCAGACTAAGCCCATGCACACTTTGCTGCCTCAGAGGACAACAAAGCGTTCCATGTCTCCAAGTAACGCCTGAACCCGCTGAGCATTAAACCCTCCACTGAGCAAACTACCTAGACTACTGGTGATAATGATCAAGTCATCCCTACAGTGATGGTCCACCCACAGGAAGTAAATCCCTAATGATTCCTCAACCTGAAGTGGAGCATAGCTGAGTTATTATTCAGAAAATAGTTCGTCAACAAAAACAACGTTAAATAATAGCTGTGTGTATATACTGCATGTTATAATTTGTAATAAACTAGTTAAAAATATTGCTATATAATTCGTTATTAATATGTTGTTTTATATTATATAACATAAGATTATATCATGCAACACAAAGTGTAAAAGGCTCAGCACGTGTACGTAAAGTATGCGTGTAGTGAAACTGGAAGTTTACATTTGTCTGCTTTGAATTTCAAATGAGCCAGTTCTTTCAACCCAGGTAACATTTAGTGCACCAACATTTTCATACCACAGTCATGCAAAGCAAGACGAGGTGAACGTCCAGTTAAAAAGAAAAACACCAGGGTCACAATTTCTTTAAAAGAAATGTAAGAATAAAAGTATATGATTATAACATTTTGATAAATCAGTGTTTATTTTTGTCAGTGTGTCACCTTGTAAAACGTATCAGATATATTTTAAAATTAACCCTTCAATTAATTAAAATTTCTTAAGTCAGTGTCAAAATTTCTGATGTAATTAAAGCTAGTTTGATTAAAATTTTCAGTTTCTAGTGTAAAATCCAGAGTTGTAAAGTAACAAATACTTTGTTACTGTACTCATGGCCGGATTAACCATATGGGCAATTGGGCAACTGCCCAGGGGCCCACGGTCTCCAAAGGGCCCTGGGCAGTGAAGGCACGGACATAACGGATGC